GAATCCAGTTTAATGTGTCATGATGTTGATGCACTTCTACAAATGCAAAAATTTCACTGCACAGAGATTCTCTGCTCCCCTGAGAACACAAAGACCAGGACATTTTGTTCCTTTCTTTTTGTGCTTACTTAATAGTAATACTTAAAATTACTCCTTAAGAAATGCTTAGAACTAACAGTTCAACAAGTTGTTCAGATTGAGTTTGTGAAGCAGATGTAATAACCTCAACACACATCAGGAGCTAACTCATCACCAATCAGGTTTTAGCCAGTTAGGAGAAAGAGTCACTTACTTGATGTGAGCAACTGAATTTTTCTCTCTTAAAACTTGCTGTGTGCAATATTGCTGGAATGTGGGGTTAGTGAAACCAAAGGATGGTCACTAAAACAGTATGTCTGACTTTTGAGTGGTATGCCTTTTTTCCAAAGATTAACCAAATCTTCAGAATTCAAAACAAAACTATTTCAAACCAAGGAAATTCAGTTTTCATGCAAATGCATTCTACATAGTTTAAAAATCATGTAAACACTATTAATTTCCTATTTACAGCACATAATTCTGTACTCTTTTGTTTATCATCTTTTAAACATGTAATTACTGTATATTGTAATGCACATTAATATCGTTTATTGTACATAGTTTATTTTAACAAAATAAATGTATTTCAAAGTATTTTGACAGCATCCTTTTGGGGAAGTGTGCTGCTGTGTTTATTTTCCCAGATGCTAATCACATGCACCTTTCAGGTAGGAAAAACACCAACCAACATATTGGCAAGGAAGATGATGACCTGTGCACCCTGTGGTCCAGCAGCCAGGGCAGGTAGAGTCAGGAGGGAAAGTGAAAGGCTTATTGTGATGAAGAATTTACATAAGGAAAGACAGCCCTGCTGGTCTGGAAATAAGAATATGACTGGCTCCAGTCTTCCAGGGGTTCAGTGCCGACATGTGGCTTTTGTTTTTTAAAAAGTAACAACATTAATTACCCAAAAAAAAGTGCCTTTTTTTACCCAGATGTTCATTAAAATTCATTTCACAACCAGAAGCAATCTCATTGACCAGCTGGTCTGGTCTTCAAGTTAAGCCTAGAAATCCCACCATTCCTGAACAACATCCCTCATCTTGGTTGGACCAAAGCAAGTTTCACCAGAGGAAGGCTTTTTGCATGTTCCTGCAGCTTGTGAACCTCTGCAGGTTTAACTAGCCCTGCATGCAGCACTTGCAGAGAAAAGGCAAAGAATATCAAGGTTTATTCCTAATAAAAAGGCACTGCAGCCCAAATCCCTGGCTGCTATAAATGGGTATGTCCTCAGAGGAGCCAGGACAATCCAAGAGAGCACAGCACATAACATGGAATATATTTTATTCGTCTTCCCTGAGGAAGGTGGCATTATTCACCAGAATTTCCATGGTCTGATTTTATCTAGGAAGAAGTGGCACAGAGAACCCACATGTCTGGGGTTAACAGCATTGTGCCAAAGGCATCCCCCAGAGCAGAAAATTCCTAAATTGCTGGCAGATAAGGCTGGGTGGAAGTAGCCAGGGGAAGGATGGAGACATGCAGTATCTGATGCTTTTACATTTCCCTCAATACCCATGGCTGGCTACATTCCCTGGCAGGATGTTGTGTGAGACAGGTTTTGCTCTGAGCCTGGGTGCTGGTTGCAGTGCTTTCATGTGGGTACAAATGAGAGCAGGAGGCAGCTGCCCCATCTCCCAAAGAGAAATCCAGTCAGTGCAGGGAACACCCATCCAGGGAGGCATCCTGCCCTCCCTCTCATGGCAACTCAGCTCTTTAAATGGGGTAAATACACTGATTTCTGGCATGGTCAATGAGGCTGAGCACACCAGCTGCAGGGGAGCTGAGCTTCCAGGGCCAGTGGATTACTGGGGCTGTCATGGAACAGGAGGGCATTTTGACAAATCAAAGCACTGCATGGCAGTGACCATCACTGTTCAGGTTTAATGAGCCACAATAAACCTGAGGCACTGAGTGCCCTGCAGAATACAGATGTGACTGGGCACTTACAGTCTGTACACTGCAGAACACACTGTAGAGAGGAAAAAATCATCTGCAGCATCATTCCCAGTGTCCAAAAGGGGAACTGAGGCACAAACAAATCCATTGCTTTTTGTGGCAGAGAGAATACCTGAGGTGTCATGGCCTTTGTGACAAATACTCCTTGCAAACACATACCAAAGACAAGCTGTTCAACTGCTTTGGACAGGTTGGGTGGTGACATCTAAAACCATGGCTTTAAAGAGCATTAAAATGCTCCCAAGGAGGTGGCATTTGCCTGGGAAGAAGCTTCTCATGCTCTGAAATATGTGGGCTATGTTGACTGCCTACAAATTCTGGGCAGGATGTACCACCCCAGCTGCAGCATTAAGGACGTGAAAACTAAAGATGTGGTCATAAGTTGTGACAGGACAAAGAGTAATGGTTTTAAACAAAAAGAGGGTTGATTTATACAAGTGTTTTACAGTGAGGATGGTGAAACACTGGCTAGAGAGGTGGTGGATGTCCCATCCCTGGAAACATTGTAGATGAGGTTGGACAGGGCTCTGAGGAATCAGGTCTAGTGGAACATGCTCCTGCTCTTTGCAGGCAGGCTGGACTAAAAACAACTCAAACTATTCTGTGATTTTAAATATGAAAATTGATGTGACTTTAACAGAGTTAAGACCTACTAGTGTAATAACTTCTGGGGGGAAATTTCCACATTTTCATTGGTCTACTGTCACTCAGGGCAGATCCACAGCATCTCTTTTGTCCTCCTCCTTGAAGGAACATCTCAAAGTGACATTTTGCTGACTTGGTTTCAGTCAGTACATCCTTCCCACCTCCCCAGTCTGTTCCACAGGCTGGCTGCATCAGTCCAAACCCTTTTCCCACCCTGCAGAGTTTTGTTCTGAACACTTGTGGAGGTTTCTGCTGTCTCACCGTGTCCAGGTACAGCCCTGATTTCCTGCTGGCTGCAAAGGAAGGAAGTTTGCCACTTTCTAACCCTGCCTGTAATCCTGAGACTGCAGCACAGCCAGACTCCATCAGAGAAATTCAGTGAAGGAAATGACTTCACACCAAGGAGATGTTTTGCAGGTGTTCACAGCTCTGGCAAAGAGTTTGTAGGAGCTTGTAGATATTCTATGTGAGAAATCTCTACACTCAGAAAAGGAGGGACACATTGCTTGAAATTGCTTTCATACTACAGTTTTGAGGTTTATTAAGGACACAAAACAATTTGCAGGTTTCTCATAATAACTGTAATGTCAATTAACAATATCAGAGGGACCGTGAGGTGTAATTTGAAACAAAAGATGAGGACTTTTTAAAGGGTAGTTCAACTCTCCATCAGCCAGAAAAATTGCTTCTGCTGCTGTTGGATATAGCAGTCTCTATTCAGAATTACAGAATGGGTGATCTTCCTATCAGTCATAGTACAGCTTTTACAGATAAAAAAAAAAAAGTTATGTCAACCAATAAATTACAGGTCCAAATAAATCTATCTTAGTGTGGACAGGACACCTGGGGTAGTTTCAAGCATTCATCCCTGTAAATGAAGGTGACTGCATTCAGGAGACAAGGCACTGAGTGGGGGGAGACAGGTGCAGGTATTACTCTGAGCAGCAGCTCTCTCCTAATGGCTATCTGAGAAGGTGTCTTTGTTTTGTGAGCTCCTTTGGGCCTCTCCCACTTGGCAAATCTTCCTTCATTCACTTAATTTTCTATTTTGCTCAGGGGAGAAATGAGGGATGAATGTGAATGTGTCCTCCTGCAGGTGGGAACCAGGGAACAAAAGCACTTGTGTGGCTGTGGTCACAGGGGGCTCATGTGGCAGCTCCCAGGTGTTCCCCTAGTTTGTAAAGAGTGGGTCTGAGGAGGTGTGAAGTGTCATGTGGAATGTCTGCTCTCTTTCCTGTGCTGGACTTGTCCCACTCACCATTACTGGACACTTCACAGCTTTCCTGCAAGCACATCTGGCTGTCCCCCAGCTCTGTGTGCACCCTCAGAGGAGCAGGTGTCCACAGAGCTGAGCAGCTCAGGGAGCTGTGGGAACACCCTTCCTTAGCTCTCTTTTTCCCACCACCTCAGCCAGAGGCTCGCTGAAACTAAACCATGATCATTGCATTTTGGCTTGGTCCTTCTGACTCTGGAAATTGTCAGGAGAGATGCCTTGGGTCTGCAGAGTCTCACTGATTCCACGTGAAGCCATTTCCCCTTCAATCCCTGGACAAAAGCAGATGGTTCTACAAATAATGTGTATCTCTCTTTTTTTTTTTTTTTTTTTTTTTATGAACTGTCCCTTGTGAAGTTGGGTTTTATTTGGGTTTTTTTTTTTCAATAAAACATCTCCATTAAAGCAAAGCTAAAAAACTAAAATACATGGTTAACTGTAAAAGTGCACTGATATTAAGCAAAACACTTAATCATGAGCTTAAGTCCTTGGCTGAGTCAGGGCTGAGTATGCATTCTCCCTAATTTCAAGGTAGTGATCTGAATACTTATTTCCATTTCATTGGCCTTGAGACCTTTTTCTTTGACTGTTATTCCTGAATGACTGCAGGGTAAGATTAACTAATGGGGCTGGGAGGGGGAGGTGGTGGAAGTGTTGGTTAACTGCATTTGTGTTACTGGGAAGAAGCTAAACCCCAGGTGAATCAGGCTGTTAGGGAGGAGGCAATGACTTTGTGGGGTGCAGGGAGAAGGGTCACACAGAGTGAAAAGCTCTGTGGAGGAGGAGGAGGAGGAAGGGAAACTGCAACATTTCTTTTTACCACAGGATTTGCTATTGTAAGGCTGTGGGTTTCTACAGCAATAATGCTTTGAGCAGCATGAGGAGAGGGGATTAAGCCTCATCTGCCCAGAAAAGTCAGTGAGCAGGAGCATTACAGGGTGAGATCAAATTCTGGGCTGATTTACACCCTCAGAATGCTGGAGGTACCAAGGGTATGAAGCTGGGGGAGAATTTGTCCCCTCCTTGCCCAAGGTGGGACGGGAGGTCAGTAGGTCTCACACTCAGTGGTAGCAGTGGAGCAGATGTCACAGTCACAGCAGATGGCCACCGGGTAGGTGTAGAAGGGGTCCATGTCAGGGGCACACCTGGGCAGCTTCACCATCACCATCCTGGTCTCGTTGTAGGTGCAGATCCGTTGGTGGGACTCGATGTAAGGAGGCTCCAGGATGGGTTTCTACAGGGGAGAAATGCTGGCCTCAGGCAAGCTGCAAGACAAACATCTGGAGCCCCAGTTTCCTCAAGGGGATTTTGTGTGAATAGAGGAGCTACTGGATCAGGTGGAAGGGGCCGTGGAAATAAATTTTAGGCTACATCCTTCAACGCTTGCCTCTTGGAGCCCTGCCATGGAGGGGAGTGGGCGCATGTATATGTTTTAGTTTGCTTAAAGCATACAGCTCCAATTAAAACCTGCTTGAAGGAAGACAGAAATTATCCCAAAAGCTTTTTTTTTAGCAGAGTATGAGTGTTTCAACCAAATGCTGCCAAAAGCAGCTGCTTTCTTCCAAGAGCATTGATTTTCCATTAAACATACTCTTTCCAGCAAAACCCTTCATGTGCAAAGCTGCCTAAGAGCAGGGGTGCATCCAGGTGCCAAAGGCTGGGGTTTTTTTCTCAGCCAGACCAGGCTTCCCTGTCAGGCTGCACTTCCCACAAATCCCAATGGCTGTACACTGTGGGGAAAGATCTTGGCACAGCAGCCAGCATAGAAGTCTGCAATTCCTCTGGAAAAAATCAGCTTGGCTAGAGACCTCAGCTATCAGAAGATAGGAGAAAGCCCTGAAACCCACCCTGCCATGTGGTATCATGTTTTTTAAAATTTAAGTATATTAAGTTTTTTAAAATTAAGTATTGGTTTTGCTGAAAAATCAGTTTCTCATTAACAGAGGCACCCATTTTCCAAAGACTCCAGGAATGGGCAGCACACACACAGGAATGGGAGCCCACTGCCTAACATCTCCCAGCCAGGAGGCATTTTAATTTCTTTCTTTGCCTCTGTGCTGCGCAAAGAGCCCTCCCTGGGAACCAAGAAGTGGAAGAGAACAAATACAACATTTCAGCAAGGTGATGTGCAGAAACCCCTCCCTCTCACAAAGCCCATCCAAACACATCGTGGTGCCTTCTGGAAGCTGTTGAACCCACAGCCAGGTGCATTCGGCTGAACTACACCCCAGAGGTTCTGCAGTACAGAAGGAGAGGCTGCAAGGTTTTGGAAGCAAGAGGCTGCAAGGTCTTGGAAGGTGTTGCCTGGGAGCAGGGGGAAGCAGGGATCCAGAGATTCCTCCCAGGCACCTCATCCCAGCACTGGTGGCCCTTCCCCTCATCCCACCAAGTCATGAAGGGACTCAGGGCTGGCACACAGACCCTGGCTCCTCCTCTGGTCACTTAGAGAGTCTTTGTCTTCATGTGGACAAAATCCCTCTGAGTTACTCGAGGTTTTCTGAATAAATTAAACGGGGATCGGCCCCTTGAGCATTCCAGTTGCAGAACAGCAAAGACAATCAGAACCTTGCTCTCTGACACGTGTGTGGATGGACTTAAGCTTTAGGGGTGTAGAGAGGGAGAAAGAAAGCGCCTAAGTACCTCATATTTATACAGGGCTGTGACTTAAAACGGGTCTAAATTAGATACAGACATTATCTTTGGGATCTGCATTTTGGAACAAAATATATAATTCATTAATCGGGACTTAATCTCCAAGGAATACTTTTTTTTTTTCAAGCGAAGTAATGAAGTCCCCTTCTCCTCAAGCGTCCGAGCTGTACGAGGCTTTCAGGCTGCGCAGTGACCATTACACAATTAATCCCCTCACGCGGCTGCCATTCCCGCGCGGGGCAGCGGCGGCCGGCGGGCAGGCGCGGCCATGGAGCGGACACTGGGCTTGTGTGAGGGGACAGACACCAGCCAGGGCTGTCCCTGCGCCACGGCCTCGCCTGCCAGCCCCCGCGGCGTCCCCAGCAGGCGCCCGCGCTCAGCCGGAGCGCTCGGCAGCCGCGTTTCCTGGCCGGGAAGGTGAATTCCCTCACGGCGTGCTAGCCATGGCAGCTCCATGCTGAGGGCACAAGGGAGAGCAGGGGAGGGCTGGGGCAGGGACACCCCTGGCTGGTGTCTGTCCCCTCAGAAACACAAGGTCCCCCTGTCTGTCCCCCTTCAAACACAAGGTTACCCATCCTCACTCAGCCTGGGAGGAGAGGGGCAGGTGGAGGAATGAGGGGTCACTACTCCCAGAAGTGGAAAATCTCCCTAAAAAGATCTGTCACGGAGTGCAGCAGTGCGAAGGCTTTCCCTGCAGAGCAGTGGGAGTTTGCCTAGAAGACACAAAGTCACCAGCCCGTGCTTCAGCCCTAAGATAAGTGGAAAATAATTTGTTCACTGTGATATACTCGCTTACCTTGGTTTGCATAAGAATGTACTGGTGTGTCTTTGAAATGCTTATTTGCTTACAAGGTGATAAGGAGGTTGGGATTAGAGTCCTGGGTGTTTGTATCTGGTCTGCTTGCTGTATCTCAAAAGAAGAGACTTGGAAGCTATCACAACGACCAGACTCAGACTACATCTGGAGAGTCCCGCCTGCAAGGAGAAGGGGGGGGATAAAAGGAAGGTTGGGACAGAACATTTTTGCGCGCCGTTGGTGGAGCAGGAGACTCCCCGGCCGCCCAGCGCTGTGCTTTGCCTGCCTTACTCGCTTGCTGTTTTAAATAAAATTGCTTTATTGAATTAAGACACTTCAAATTGCCGTGTCACAATTTATAACAAGCCCCACTGAAATCTGCATGTCACAGATTTGTTTTGCAGCATATGCCTTTCTACCACCCTGCTTGGGCTGTCTTGAGCTCGCACAAAGCCAAGAACTGCACAGCTGGGAGCCGAGCATCCCTGAATTTGTGCTACAATCTCAGCATCTCCCAGAAGTGTTACTGGAGTCGCCAGTACCAGCACCCAGTGCACGGGACTGGTGCCATTCCTCTCCCAGGGCTGGATGTCCCTTCAGCAGAGGGGCTGGATGTCCCTTCAGCACAGCTCAGACCAGCCCAGGCTGCCAGGCAGTGATCAGAGCTGGGCAGACAGGGGGGACATGGCCAAGGTGACCAGAGCAACCCTGAATTCCTTACACCTGAGCAGCCCAGCACCCACCAAGACCCTCCGATACCTGCTGACCTTCTGTCTCAGCAAAGAAAGCAAGCAACTTCTCTGGAACAGCTCCTCTGTCAAAAGAAGAGAGCTGGGAAGTAGCTCTAAGCCACGAGGTCCATTTTACAATTCACATATTATCACTGCATTTAAATACATCTATCTTAGAAACTCCAGATTTGACACTGAAGTTTGAGAAAGCTACTGCATGGGGCACAGACTGGTGTGTGCTGTCCTCAGCTGGACAGACCAAAATTAAGTGAGCTGGGACTGCCATTGGCTGATGCTTGAGTCTCCAGGCTCCTCTTAAACAAAATTATTTAAATTTGCTAAATCAGAGCTCTAGATCAGCCCGTGATGTTTGCAGCATATATGTTACCATGTATACACTAGAGTCTTACATGTGATTAAAGACGGCATGATTATATATAACCTTCAAGAGGTAAAAAAATGCTAAAATGCCTTATTTTTTAAAAAAACGTGTATGTGGAGCAAAACAGACAAACTTCAGAACAAATAAAACATTTATCCTTTGCCACTTTAGCAAATTCTGCTGCTTTATTCATGAACCAGAGCCATGACAGGGAGCAAACACAGACATGCACTCACCTAACTCGTTGGAGTCAGAATTCCTTTTGCAGTTTTAAATTGCAGATGGTGTTTCAGGATGTCAGCGTGAGCAGCAGGAGACCTGCACTGCAATCTCTGTCAGCTTTGTGACCAGAAGATCTCCACAGCAGCTGCTACTGAGACGTCTAATTGCTCAAATTTATAGAAAGGTTCTTGTCAATCAAGGCAGATCCTTACTTGAACCACCCAAGGCATCAAAGCCATTGACTGTAAAGCAAGGCTCCCCTTTCCAGCAGTGAATAGCTTCAAGGAATTACTGTTATTGCAGGTTATTGTTTCATTATCTGATCAAAAAAGGAGTATCTCAGTGAGTGAAATTATGAGCATGCACTGGGGCAAAATGGATCATCTTTTCCATAATGGATTATCAACATCTTTGTGAAGGAATTGGAAGTTGGCTCTGAAATTATCGTTACCCCTATAATTAACAAGCCCTAAGTAAATATCCTCAAGAGAGACTTCTCAGATATTTGTACAAAAAATTACCTGGATTTTTGTCAATTGCAGAAATCTTTTTTGATTTCTCTGTACAAGCAAGGGCAAGAGATTTGGGGAGAAGGTGAGAGCTTGCAAGGAAAGAAAGTGTTCTTCTCTTGGTAAGCTAGGCAGCTGAAACAGGTGAGCTCCACTGTGAAAGGAAATTTAGAAACTATTGTCCTCTGCCTTCACTGTGCAAACCCAATTTTCAGCTGTGCACAGGACAGGGAGCAGCTGAGGAATTTGGTTCTGTGAAAAACTTGCTGGTCAGTGAGTTCACAAAAAATGAGTGGGAGAAAGAAGTGGAGCCATAAGCTCACACAGTGGCCTGGGGAAAGTCACCTCCCTTCCTTTCCACCATGGATGGACAGTGACTTCCCAGCTCCAGTGCCCAGAACAATCCAGAAAAGACAGGGCAAGTGTCAGAGATTATGGACCCCTCAGGATGAATTTGTCAGAGGCAGCCACGGCAATACAACCCAGCCATGAGAATAAAAAACACAGGGGAAATCTTGATTTGAATAAAATCCATGCTACAATGTCTTAGAGGGAAAAACAAAATAAGTAGAAATCAAAAAAAGAGTAGAGAAAAAAACCACAATAACCAAACAAAACAGCATCTGTTGATGTCCAGAACATGCATCTTATCAAATAAGAAGCAGTGATTTACTATGATCTTGTGATTTACCTTAAAAATATCCAACACTTATTTCTGATGGATTCCATTCAGGCTTTCTGTAGTATGAGCTGTGGAAAACAGCAAATTGCCATTGAGGAAAAGAGATATTGAACCATTCAGGAACCAACAAGGCACGCCACAATGGTGCTCTCCCTTTTTTAGGGTAAATAACCCATGGCTCGAGGTCCCTGTTTCACTGCCAAGGTCAGCAGCCCACATTTGGTGCAGCAGCAGAGCTCACACTTGTTCTCAAGCCCTGGGAGCCCCAGAGCACTTGCTGGGTTTCATTACTCAGCTTGGAGCAGCCACACAAGCTGGAGTGTAAAAGGCTGGTTATTTACTCTCAAGGTCTACCTTTCTGTCTGAATTAGGAAACAGTGATTGGAAAAAGTGAAAGAGGCAAGGGATTGTCTGAAAAACAGAAAAGCAGCAGGCATTTAGTGCTGTTGCCATGTTGCCATCATGACATGAGCAACAGCTGCTTCAAGTAATTAATTCACCTAACAGACACCAAAAGAATAATAATAATAATAATAAAAAAAGGACAGAACAGAATTTTTAATAAAAAATTTGAAAAGTTAGGAGGGAGGGTTTGTTTAAAATCTGTCCCAGTATTCTCCCTCAATATTGTTCCCAGTCTCACTGGCAGTAAATGACTCCAGGTTCAAATAAAAGGTGATCAGGTGAGATGTTGGAGGAGGAATGTTGAATGGAGGTGTTGTGAATGTCTCATCACTTTGTCATCAATTTTGTCACTGATCTAAAACAATGACTTTCCACTAAAATAACCCTAAAATTAATTTTCACTGACCAAAAATAAATCTAGAAAATAAACTTCTAGAGCTTATTCAAAAATATACAGTTTGAAAGTTCCTGACTTATGGGGAAAGCATGAAAAAGTAAAAATACTGAGCTTAAGTCCCCTTTATTTGATTCTGGAAATGTACCAGCAAAAATCAGCCTAAGATGAGAGGCAGGTACAGGAAATATGTGCCAGATGGCAGATGAACCAGCTTTGACAGATTCCTCTTCTTTTATGGATTAAAAAACCAGGTGCTGGAGTTATTGTGTAATGCAGCTTGGTTTCAGTGACTCCAGCTAAGTAAGATCCTGTTCTCTCATCTCCATTTGTACTGAACGGCCTCTTAGAGTGAAATAAAAGAGAAATTGCAGACTCTCTTTTTCTGTCTCTAGAAAATCCAATCTGTTTGTGGGACAGACACCAATTCCTGAAGGATTTGCACTGTGTTGTGTGAAAAGCCTGAGTGCTGGCTTTTTCCCATGCAGAGTTTTTGCTGTCTTACTGTTCTGTGAGTTTATCTCATTTAAGTTAATCAATAAATATGCCAGTAGGATTTCAAATCGGGTTGATCATGAGAAAGGGGCTGAGATGAGCTATTTAATGAGACAGAGCAAGGGACATAGCAATGCTGAGTGGCTGCACACAGTAAGCACTGCACAGAGCCATGTAGGCTCTGGCAGGCCAAAATAATCTGGTGACCATTCAGGCAAGAAAAGTCAGTGACTGGACAGGAGATATTTAATGCACTGCACACAGGAGGGGTTTGGAAAGGTGGGTGTTAGTTCAAAAGTAAGACAGAAGGAGAAATGGGTGAGAAATCCAGGTGGTGTGGGATGGCTGGCCAAGTTCACAGGAGGTGGCACCCAAGACAGGTTAGGGTTCAGTTTAGAATAGAGTGAGTCATAAAACAATCAGGTAGGATACATAGCTATAAATGTTAGAGGTAATTTGATGAACTCATGGGGGAAAAAAATAGCACTGGAATCACTTTTCCCTATACAAGTTAACATCTGACTTTAGGTCAATAGGTTGTTTACTCTTTGCTGGTAGTTTTGGAAAAAAGATAACCTTTATGTCCTGAAAACAGCATTTCAAACAAGTGCATTAAAATTGTTTAATCCATCCCCACAGCTGCTGCGTGTTTGTCTTGGAGTGTGACTTTCTGTCATTTTCTATATTTTGAAAGAATACAAGGAGTTGGTTTGTAAAGGGACAGACAAAGCAGGTTTAGCCTTGAGAGGGCATGGCTGATCTGTAAATGAAAATCAAAGGCAGCAAGTAAAGCTCCTTGAAGGGCTCTGATAGAAACACTGCCAAGTGTAAGCACAGGGAGCAAAATGCAGCCATCAGGAAATGTGTTCCCGGGCAGGAATGAGATAAATGTGGGCTCTCCCTGCTAACAATGGGACACCAGTCCCTGCTGAATGTCTCGGGCACACAAAGCCACTTCTGCTTTAAAAGACTTTCTGCTCATTTTGCTTCCTGGGCTTAACACAACACGAGCTGGCACCGGCTGAATGAGCATTAGGGGGAGAAGAATGTAGTCAGGAAAGAGGATTTCTTGAGGCTGCTGTGGCAGTAAATCACACCACACTTAGTACTCGGGGGAATGAGCCCTCTTATAGAGGAGATAAACACTTTGTGCAGCTTGTGGGGATACCTGTGTGAGGAATGGCAGAGCAGCCCAGTGAGCACACCTGTAAAATCCAGCCCTGCAGATGTGAAATGCTGTGGAAAAGCTCTGTGCTGACTGCAGCAGAATCTCAGCTGTTTCAGCACAGCCACTGCCTCAGCAGCACGGCTGTTATGAGGAATCTGTCAGACACGATTCTTCTCTTCCTTTTCCATCAGGCTTGGAAAATGAAGTCCAAGGGTGAGGCTTAACAGTAACAAAAAACACTAATCCACAGTTTGCTTGAGGCACATCTATCCTGGAGAGATAACACTCCTCTGCTAAAAAAGGCCTGTAGCTTTGATGGATTCAACCCAGAAGAGAACTAATGAAGGTCCTACAGACACTAGAAGAGCTGAAGTTTCTAAAATTTGGTAGTGCACATCTCTGACATACAGATATTGCACCCAAAACCTAAAGGTAATTCCAATAAAGATAAATCCATAGCAGAACTGCAGGTTTAGTTCAGAACCTGATCGTAACCTGATTTGATACTATATGGACAAAAACCTGATTTGGTACTATATGGACAAAAAGTATAATGTGAACACATTTACTAAAATTCTTTTTTTATATGTTCATATACAGGGTACCTCAAAAAAGCTAGTTTCTCAAGTCTTACACTTTGAGCAAAATGCTTTGCAAGTAGAAATCAGAAGGACAAATATAAAGGCAAGAACGGAAGTAAAGACTCTCCATTGTCAAGAAAATAACAGGTTCAAATAAAATTAATCATAACCCAATGGCAAAGAACAGCAAAATTTAAAATAAAAGATGTGATAGACCTGACCAGTCTGTCTGATACCTGTCCCAGTCTAACTAGTGCAAATATTGATTCGAGTCTTGCTTTACTGTGGCTGTAAGTTACATGTTGCAAAGATTAACAGAAGGCAGCATTTCTCAAAGCCTGACTGGCAGCAAGAATTTACCTGCAACAGGGGCATTCCTGGGGAGTTCCCTGAAGGTTCAGGGGTTGTGGTATATGCAGTGGTGAGGGGGCAAACACAAAAACACATATCCTGAATGGATGAGGAGGGGAGTAAAGGTACAACACTGAGCCCAGGCTGTGGAACTCCTTTGTCAGGGTCTTTAGGAAAGTAAAGAGACTCTGGAAAGGTGCATCTGTCAAGCATAGCTCCTGATAGTAATTGGTCAAACATCACTTCACCACACTGTTGGTAATATTCTTCTCAGTTTTCTCAGGCACTTTGGATGCATGTGTACCCTCACATTGTTATCACACACAGCCACATTTTCTTCCCTATCAAACTCTCCCTTCGTGGTGATGATGCTGATCACATTCAACCCAGAATCTGGATTCAAGAATTCAAATCCAATGGAATTGGCTGAATATTGATGGGAGAGAGAACTGGGCTCTCTAATTGTACACCAGGGAATTGCCTGGAGATTTGATCTGAGTTCATTACAGCGTGGAAAAGATTTTTCCAATAAATAGAGTTGCTATGCAAACTTTATGTGGCTGACAGTAACCACTTTAGCTCAAGTCTCTTCTGCACTGCATAGCTTTCCTCTAATACTCTTTTTAGAAAATGGATTTTAGTCTTTTAGGACAG